GTCTGATCCCGCCCCCCCCATTCCCCCCATTTCCCTCACACCCTCACCTTCATGCTGTTTCCTGGGTCTCCATTCCCAGACTCCTACTCCAGCTAATTCACAGAGATGTTGATTTCTGGAGCCTTTGGTTGATACATCAGCTCTGACTGTGAAAGAGAGATTCCAAGGTGGGTTGAAAATAGACAGAAAGACAGAGACAGTGAGAGATAAGCACAGAAAATGAGACCCACTGACAGGATGTAAGCCCACAGTGAGACAACACAAAGATCGGGGTTAAGAAAGACAGCCCAAAAGAGCTGTGACCCCTGCCCTATCCACCCCCATGGACTCATAAACCAGGGCCCCTGTTCCATGAAGAAAGATCTCCCTTGCCCTTTCAGTCTGCCTATGTCAATATGGAGGTAAGGGGAGTGATTGTGTTGATCAGATCTTCAGGTTTAATGGAGATACTATTTAGGGACAGCTCCCAGACAAGAGCACTGTCCCAACCCCTGCCCCATTCTTCTGAGAGGATCCAGCCCGGAGCTCACATCTCATTGTCACTTCCACGGAATGAGTGCTCTGGCTCCAGCCCCTTTTCTGGGATGCTCCTGTCCTCTTGGGGCATCAGCTCATCCAGCCAGAGGAGTTCGTGTGGTGAGAAGACCCACTCCAGGGCCTTTCGGACCCCCACCAGGCCTAACAACTGCAAGAATAGAAACACAGCCCAGGGCTGTCAGCAACAGCAGCAAGAACATTAACAATAGTAACATTTATCAAGCACTTCCTATGTGCTAGGCATTGTGTATGTTTCACTGAATGCTAACACATTTCTATGGACAGCTACAATAACTGTTCCTATTATATACAGAGAAGGAAACTGAGACCCTGAGAAATTAGTTACTTCCCAGAGGTCACACAACTGGGATGTGGTAAACAGATAGGTTCTACTGCAAAGCTCACGGCCCTTAACTTCCTCAATAAGAACAAGGCCAGAAGCCACCTGTGTTATCTGTCACCTCACTGAGCAACAAAAGTGTCAGCATTTCCTCTCCCAGGACCTCAGTTTTTTTCTGGATTTTATATTCCTACCTGTGCTTTATCAGCCCAAAGAGGTTGGGAAAGGAGGTAAATCAAATATCCCAGGACATATCTGTAGGTATTCCTCTGCCGTCTTTCTTTGACTTAAGGTTCCCAACCATGCAGAGCCATGGCAAGTGAGAGGGGGGAGATTCTTCCTAGTGGAGGCCTTGACCACCCTTCCAGGCTCAGAGCCTCCCAGGACACCGCCCAACCCTGCCCCAAGTCACCATGAGGGGGAAGATGATGGCTGCAGGGGTAGACTTGGCTATCCACAGAGCACCCAGGCAGGCAAGCTGAATGACTGTGAAGAGGTGTACCCTGCTCAGAGGCACGTGCCGCAACAGTAGCAGGTCTGGCTGGTGTTTTGCTGGCATCAACAATAGGTACACTCTCTTCATGAACTGAAGCAACAAGAGGAAGAGGAAAGCAAGGCACTTAGGTAGCCTGACAGGAGGGTGTCACTGTTACCTATCTCAGCTCAGCATAGGGGGAAAGGCAGAAGGCTCCCCTGGCCCCTTTCCCACCCAGAGGGCGGCAGCGGAGTCCTTGTGCCCAGGAGAGGCAGGAAAAGGGGACAGAAGGGGAACTGACAAGTATAGGCAGGAGATGCAGCAGGAAAGAAAAAAAAGTATGTGGTTGCTAGGTGATTGTTAATAGGCTCACCTGGATGCTGCTAAGCGCTGCCACCCCCATGTACAGGAAGATGCCATAGAGCACAGGCATTGGGATGAACTGGTAGGAAGAAGTGGAAAACTGACAAAGGAGTCTGCCCACCGCCCAGATGTCCCACCTAAGGCTCCAACTCCAGCCTCTAGCATTTAGCATCCAAGCCTGCCCAAGTCTTTCCTTTCCCTTCACACCTTGCATGCCTGGTCTCTGAATCCTTATATCCGTCATTGTCTTCATTTTACAAATGGGGAAATTGAAGTTCAAAGGGACTAAGTAACTTGATCCATCACCTGGCCTACCTCTCTAGTCTTATTTATTTATTTGTTTGTTTGTTTTTTAGAGACAGGGTCTTGCTCTGTCACCCAGGCTGGAGTGCAGTGGTGCAATTCTAAATTCCTTTAAATTCCTGGGCTCGAGTGATCTTCCGGCCTCAGCCTTTCGAATACCTAGAACTACAGGCACATGCCACCACACCTGGCTAACTTTTATATGTAGTAGGGATGGACTCTCACTATGTTGCCCAAACTGGTCTCAAATTCCTGATCCCAAACGATCCTCCTGCCTTGGCCTTCCAAAACACTGGGATTACAAACATGAGCCACCATTCTCAGCTCTACAGTCTTATCTATCACAGTCCCCTCTGTTATTTTTTTCTTGTTTAGAGACAAGATCTCGCTCTGTTGCCCAGGCTGAAGTGTGGTGGTACCATGATAGCTCACTCGAACTCTTGGTCACATATGACCCTCCCACTTTAGCCTCCTGAGTAGCTGGGATTACAGGCGCACATCATCATCATGCTTCCACACACCCTCTGTTCTTTATGTTTTCACCGTACTAGCGCCTTTCCTTCCCTCAACATGCCCAAGTTTCTTCCTACCCCTTACGAAGCCTTTTGCTTTGCTATTCTCTCCACCTAAAATGCTCTTTCACATGGCCAGTTCCTTCTTACTGCTCACGCCTCCTCTCATGACACCCCAGAAAGGCCTTCACTGACCACGCAGTCTAAGGTTGTCCCTGGCACTCTTTTTTTTTTTTGAGTTGGAATCTCACTCTGTCACTCAGGTTGGAGTGCAGTGGCACGGTCACAACCACTGCAGCCTCGACCTTCTGGGCTTAGGCAATCCTTCCACCTCAGCCTTTCAAGTAGCTGGAACCACAGATGCATGCCACCACGCCCGGCTAGGTTTTGTGATTTATTGTAGAGACAAGGTCTCCCCAAGTTGCCTAGGCTGGTCTCGAACCCCTAGAGATTCAGGCAATCATCTCACCTCGGCCTCCCAAAGTGCTGGGATTACAGGCTGAGCCACAGCACCCAGCCAGTCCACGGCACTCTTAATCACCTATCCTCTTTTATTTCTCATAAAAGTTATCACTATCTGAAGTTATCCTATTTTCTTGTTTTAATTTTTTAAAATGCCTCCTCTTATCAGACTGCAAGGATGGAAACACGATCTTTTGTGACCACCATTATGTCCCCAATACCTAGAACAGTGCTGAGTCTGTGGCCTATGCTCGGGAGCTACCTGCCAAATGAGAGTCACCCGGTTAGTAAGTGGCTGATCCAGTCCATCTGGCTCTCTCCACGACTCCACTCTCACCCATCCTCCATGACCTTTCCCTTCCCTAACCTCTTGTCATCCTGCCAGTGACTCTTGTCTGACATTCTCCACACCCTCCTTGACTGCTCTGCTGTCCTGGCTTGTTGAACCTTTCTACTATTACTTGCCACCTAATTTCGGTTCACGTGTTTATGTTGCTGGCAGCGGCTTAATTTCATATTCCTTCTCAGCATTCCCCTGCTACCCACTTCTTTCAGGTGCCTAGCAGAGTCTTGCACACAGCAGATGCTGAGGCAAAAGTGAAGGTTCTTTGCCTCAAGTTTTTCTGGGGTTTGACGATCATAGTCTTAGGCTTAGGCTTGTCGAGAGGCTGAAGCAAGGATAGCACATGGATGCTAGGGATGCTGGTGGCACGCCCATACCTCGCTCCCCTGAGTAGAAAGCCCACTGGCTGAGTTTGGGTTGGGTTTGAGTTTGAGTTTGGGTTCTCAGACAGAGCTGAGAAGCTGGCTCTCCTGGTGCGCTATTTTAAATTACTTTATCTCTTTAAGTTTTGGCTTCCTCATTGGTAAAATGCATGTGCCTCTCAGGGTTCATATGAGGAGTAAATAAGACCATGTAGGGAGAAAACATAACAGCACCTGGCACACAGTAAGATTCAGCTAGTGTCAGTTCTAGCACTTATCCTTACTGCACTGATCCTGATGCAACAAAGGATACCTTGAGCACAGGCGCCAGGAAGATGGAAACTCCTGTGAGGATGAAGACCACCAGGCCTGTCAGTCTCTGCTCTCTGTGGAGAGAGAGAGGAGTTAGCTGGGATCTGAGAGAGCCCCTGGGGTACCCAGGTTGGAGACCCTGGCCAGACACCAGTGCTGAACCTGGCAGCAGGAAGAAACTAGAAGGATACTCCAAATAGGTCACTGCAGCTTGATGTGAAAATTGGTGGAGAAGAAGGGGCAGAGCATTCGACATGAGAGACTCAGGTCCCTCCATGAAGGTTCATAGTTACTCTTTGTCTTTATTTTATTTTAATGGAAAACTGGCAATTTTTAAACTGCAATAAAGACTTACATTTCACAATTCAGAAAGTTGACTTCCTAAACTTTATTTTTTTTAATTTTTTAAATTTAAATTTTATTTTTTTAGTTAAAGTCGCCCAGGCTGGAGTGCAGTGCACGCTCACGGCCACCTCAGCGTCGACCTGCTGGCCTCCAGCGATCCTTCTCCCTCAACCTTCCAAGTGGCTGGAACTACAAGCGCACACACCTGGCTAATTTTTTATTTACTGTAGAGACAAAGTCTCGCCAAGTTGCTTGGGCTGGTCTCGAACCCACGGACTCAGGCAATCCACTCACCTCAGCCTCCCAAAGTGCTTGGATTACAGGCTGAGCCACAGCACCCTGCCTATTTATTTATTTATTTATTTATTTTGAGACAGGGTCTCACTCTCTTCCAGACTGGAGTGCAGTGGCACTATCTCAGCTAATCACAGCCTGAACCTCCTGGGCTCAAGCCATCCTTTTGCCCTAGCCCTCCAAGTAGCTGGGACTACAAGTGTGCACCACCATGCCCAGTTAGTTTTTGTATTTTTTGTAGAGACTAGGTCTCACTATGTTGTCCAGGCTGGTTCCAAACTCCAGGCCTCAAGCAATCCTCCCACCTCAGCCTCCCAAAGTAATAGGATTACAGGCAGACATAAGCCACCACTTAAAAGTCTATACTTTAAACAGTTAGATTGCTTCCAACAGTTACTCAATTGTTTTTGTGATGTATTCCTTTGTAACTTCTACATTGAATGGTGGCTTATTAGGCAGCACTTCACCTTGGCTGCCTCTACCCTTGCATCAGTGATGCTCCCCTGGGGACCCCTCCCAGTCCTCATGGCTGAAGGAGGAGAAGGAAGATCTGACTCACCCGTCTCGAAGTCCAGAACCCACCCATTCTGCTACCACAGTGCTTGTGGTGCACCAGCTTAGAATTTAACTCTGCATGTATCCCACATGCCTTGCTGCCCACCCCTCACCTGATGCCTAGGAAGCTGGGGGTCTCTCCAGGGGCACAGGCTCTGCTCTCTCTCCGAAGACTGTCCATGTGAGCCAGGGAGATGACAGTGGCTGAGACATACCAGGGCAGCCCAAGTGTTGAAGTGAGCAGCATCAGCACAGCCACACAGAAGAGGTCCAGATGGAAGCCAGCTCCCTTCTGCACATAGTGGTGGGGAGAAGAAGCTGGTCCAGATCTGAGCCCTCTGTCCCCTGAGGTGGGAGAGGGGAAGCTTGGGCTCCACCCTAGAGCTTCTGTCCCTTGGTCTAGGGCCTTACCCGAAGTCTGTATTCCATGCGATTGAGGATGACCGCTGTGATCTGCTGGTCCATGAAGATGAGGATGGACAGCAGCAGGGCAGGCAGGGCAGCTACCACACTCCACCACCAGGGATTGGCTCCAAAAGGCAACACCAGCCAGCCACGCCCAGGGAGTGTGGGCTGGGGTAGGGCATCGCATGGACAAGTTGGAAAGAGTCTCCCAAGAGTACCTCGCATGCACACCTCATCCTTGGCATTCCCCCACAACCCACCTCTGAGATACTGAATGTTAGGGGTGTGTGTACACAGATGATTCAAAGCATTCCAGTGCCTTAAAAGAGGGCAGAAAGGAGGGGGGACCAGCCTGGAGGTTGGGCTGGAGCCAGGGGTTCTGGGAGGGCTCGGGGAAGAGGAGGAGGTGGCAGATGAGGCCTGTTCACACTTTTTGCTATACAGAGCCCTCTTCCCTAGGCACCCCCCCCCATCCAGGGTGGGGCAACTCAAGTTCAGACCTGTCTTGATCTGGGGCAGGAGCAAGGCTGGGTGCGTCTGCGTCTGCTCTGATTATGAGCGTCTATGTGGGAGAGGAAGCCCCAGCTGCTGTCCTAGCTGGAGTCCCCCCTCCCCAGCCCTCCTGTCCTGGGGGAAGATGGAGGGAAGATCTCCAAATGCACAAAGTCAAGGAGTCAGTACTAAGCCTTGTCCTGTACACTGCCATGCCCCCCGGGGGCGGGACCCCAGCTTTACCAGATCAGAGCAGTTAGTAAGGGGTGCAGTGAAGAGAGTGAGGAACAGTGAAGTGGGCAGGCCTGTGCCAAGGGGAGGGAGAATCCATAAAAACAACAGCTAACATTTATTGGACTTGGTATATGCCAGGCACTGTGGTAAGTGCTTATACTATGATCTTCTGTAAACCTCAAAACAATTTATAGGGCAGGGACTATTATCTTTTTTTTTTTTTTTTTTTTTTTGAGTTGGAGTCTCACTCTGTCTCCAGGCTGGAGTGCAGTGGCATGCTGCTGGCCACCGAAGCCTCCATCTGCTGGGCTTCAGGGATCCTTCCGTCTCAGCCTTCCAAGTAGCCGGAACTACAGGCATGCACTACCATACCCGGCTAATTTTTGATTTATTGTAGAGACGAGGTCTCACTATTTTGCCCAGGCTGGCCTCGAACCCACAGGCTCAGGCAATCCTCTCACCTTGGCCTCCCAAAGTGCTGAGATTATGGGCTTGAGCCACTTCATCTGGTCTATTATCATTTATTATTTCCATTTTATAAATGAAGAAATTGAGGCCAGACATGGTGGTTTATGCCTGTAATCCCAGAATTTTGGGAGGCTGAGGCAGGAGGATTGCTTGAACCCAGGAGTTTGAAACCAACATGGGCAATATAGTGAAACCTCGTCTCTACAAAAAAATTTTTTAAAAATTAGTCTTGTGTGGTGGTGCACACCTGTAGTTCTAGCTACTTGAACCTTGATGGTTCCACTGCATTCCAGCCTGGGTGACAGAGTGAGATCCCGAATCAAAAGGCGGTGGGGGGGGAGTCTGGGTGTGGTGACTCATGCCTATAATCCCAGCATTTTGGGAGGTGGAGGCAAAAGGACTGCCTAAGCCCAGGGTTTCAAGACCAGCCTGAGCAACTTGGCAAGACCTTGTCGCGACAATAAATAAAAAAATTAACCCATAGTTCCAGCTACTTGGGAGGCTGAAGCAGAAGGCTTGACTGAGCCCAGCAGGTCAAAGCTGCGGTAGCCATGAGTGTGGCACTGCACTCCAGCCTGGCCACAAAGTGAGAATCAGACTCAAAAAGAAAAAAAAGAACTGAGACTTAGAAATGTGCATTAACTTGCCTAATGCACAGCTAGGAAGTGGCAGAAGTGGAAATTGAACCCAGAGCTGGCTGAACAGCTCCCATTCTCTTTTTTTAAAAACAGAGATGGGTTGGGGTCTTGTGATGTTGCCCAAACTAGTCTCAAGCTCCTGGGCTCAAGCATTCCTCCCACCTTGGCCTCCCAAAGTGCTGGGATTACAGGCATGAACCACTGCACCCAGCCAGAGCCCGTCCACTATTTTTTTACAAAACACCAAAACACTTTATTTTTAAGAAAAAAGTACAATTTCTTATTTTCTATTCTTGACATAAATTTTAATTATTTCCAGTGGAACCAAAACCTCCTGCACCCCTTTCAGTGTCATCTAAAACTCGAACTTCTTCTATTTCTGGATAAAAAAACATCCATTTACAAATGAGCTGTGCAATTCGGTGACCTTTTTTGACTTCAAACTTTTCCTTGCCAAAATTAAACAGTACAACACTAACATCTCCCCTATAATCTTCGTCTATGACAACAGCTCCTACATCTATAAAGTGTTTTGCAGTCAAGCCAGAACATGGAGCTACTCTTCCATAACAACCAGAAGGAAGAGCTATCTGAATGTCCGTTTTCACAAGAGCTTTCTCCAAAGCTGGTATTGTATCATCATAGGCACTGTACAGGTCATAGCCCTTGGCCCACGTGAACCCCCAAGTCGGGGCTGAGGCAAGCTTGGAGAGCCTGGCAAAGCGGAGCTGCATACTGCCTTCCTTCACAGGTTGGGGACCCTTGCTGGGAGAAATGGCAGGGGTCTCTTCAGAGCAGAAGCCCATCCTCTTAATCCCTACCCTACAATAGTAGCACTCACTTTTGTGTCTGCTTCAGTACCTCCTTTAATCCTTACGACAACTCTGTGAGGCCATTATTATTACTATTATAGCTTATGCATGAAGAAAGAAGCTTCAAAGAGTAGAAGTATGGAATTTATTTAGCTCCTTCCCCCAGGGTCTAGTGGCCCTGCTTTCCCCTCTGTCCCCATATCTTCTAGCTCTCACCTTGAACTCTCTGGGCACCATGAGCTTCGGTGTAGCCAGGCCCAGGAAGGCATCGAGACCACAACCCAGCAGGATGGCCAGGACTGAGGAGAAGTCGCTGAGCACCTTGCGTACCTGGCCATACAGTGGACACTCAGTCAGGTTTGAGCCTGCCATTCACCTTCCACACCCTTTCCCACTCTCAAGCAGGGCCCACGGGCAAGAGCTAGGACTTTCCTACAGAAGGAAAGGTGACACTCACCATAGAGGGGAAGAAGCGGCTGGTCTTTACATGCTTAAGGGCCGTGGCACAGAGGAAGGAAGTAAGGAAAAGAAGGAGGGAGAAGAAGGCGATGTCTGGGACCGAATGACAGCCAGGGCCACGAGGATGGCCTCCCTGCTGGGTGCACTCAAGTGGAGGTAGCAGTGACGCATTGATCAGGCCCAGGTCCTGTAGAGAGGGATGATCGAGGAGCAGTGGAGGAAATGTCCTGCTCTCCTGTACCCACCTTAAGGGAAGGGGGACCCTCAGGGACACCAAGGGCCCAGGTGGGAGGTCTCCAGCCATAGGAAATGGCTGAGCCTCAGTGACCTATGAAGATTTCCCCAGCCTACGAGCAGAAAGAGCCAGGAACCACTGCCTGCTTTGGCCTCCGCCCTTTCTTTCCCTGACCCTCCCAGGAGCAGTCCCTCACCGTGCTTAAGATGTCATCTTTGTCTTTTGGCCTCGTCCTCGTCCATTGAGACTCATTTTCTGGGAAGCAGAGAATTCAGGTGTATGCCCCCTCTCCTCAAACCTTCTCCAGCCCCATGGAATTCTAATCTGATGGGTTCAGCTGAACCAGAGTTCTTAGTTGTGACTCATCTGCCTGCTGAGTCCATCACTACCAAGCATGTGCACTTCAGGACACTGTTTCATGTCCCCGTCCCCTCGAATCCTCTACCCATCTGTATCCCTGGTGCTACACACAGGCCCTGACCACAGCAGATACCCGCTAGTGTTGGCTGAATGGGTGAGTACACAAGTCTGTGTATTTCCACCAGGGCCAAAACTGGTCTTGTTCACGCCTGCACCGGGTCTAGCGCACATTAGAGAGGACGCTTCTTCCCGGTCCTGGTGTCTCCTTCATGTGGAGGGCTGTAGGCAAGTATAATGCTCCAAGCCTCTCTCTACCTGGCCAGTCACGCTCACTCAGGGAAAGAGCAGTCATGTATCTGACTGGTTTGGTAGATAAATCTGGACATGCCTGGCCCTGCCTCTTCCTTTCTCCTCTTGTAGGTGTAAGCTGACTGCTTGGTGTATTAGCTCTGCTCCTCTGGTGCAAGATGGTCCCTGGCCAGTGCTGCCATGACTGGTGGGTACACCTATCTAATTGTGGCTTCTTCATTGGGAAACCCATTCACCTGTAGAGAGAACCCATGTCCTATCAGTGTTGTCAGAAATGAAGACACTTTGGGCCTTCCGTTGTCTTATTCCTTGATTCGGAGCCAAGTGGAAAGAGCACTGCTGGTCATTGGGTAAGTACTCAGCATTTTGCTGAACTTAACTGGAGGGGATAGTAAGGATACAACCCCTCACCTCCCTCCATCCTTCCTCACCTGGCCAGGGTCCCTATTCCCTCACACGCACCTCCTGGGCCCGGGTATTGGCAAAGGCAGCCATAGGCAAGGGACCCAGGCCTCTGGATGGGATAGGCATGGGTCAAGTTCAGCATTTTGCCCACGGCATCATAGATGAAGATGAGGCTGATGAGGGCACAGAAACCTTCCTCTGTGAAGCGGGTGAAGTAGCGCACCAGCACACTGGCTTCTGTGGCCACCAGAACCAGGCAAAACGTAGCCACCCAGATGCCCACCCACAGGCGGAAGGGCAGGTAGTCCAGTCTGTAATCTCTGTGGGGATGAGAGACAGGCAGGGCTTGGCAGGGCTGTCTGCTCCTACCTAACCCAGGCCAAGCGCCCCTTGAGCCAAACAGATAGCTCCCACCCTGTCCTATCCACCCAGCCAGGACCAGCAGATCATGGAGCTTGTGAGGGCCTGGTGAGGTGAAGCGAGTTCTCCTACCTGCTGAAAGAGAAGAGCAGGCGTTCAAAGACCAGCATTGGCCCGGTGCTGCTGAGGATGGTGAGGGGCTGGCCTGCCATCAGGCAGAAGGCAGTTCCAGCCACTGCGGTGCCCAGAAAACTTTCCAGCACTCCCTAGAAGCCGACAGGGGCTCAGCACAGAACCCTGGAGCCATCCGTTCAGGAGCCCAAGTTTCCAGGGAGTCTCCTCAACTCATCCATAGTCTCAGAGAAAAGGAACGACGAGGGGGATACCCAAGCTTGCGCCTGCCCCCCTCAAGCAACCCCACCCACCTGGGCACCGTCCGTGGCATCTCCCAGTAGACCCCCGAAAGTGATGGCGTTAGTGATGGTGGCCAGATAAATGTAGAGCACGGCCGAAAAGCACTGGGGGTGCAGGGCGTCCACGAAGTCGCTGGGGTACCACGAGGCCTTCCTGCGCACGTCCTGGACAAGGCCCCCAAACAGCCTCCCGCCCGAGGGTCGTCAACGATCCAGGTTCCCACACGCCCTACCCTCCTCCCCGCTGCTCCCCCTGTGGCCGGGTGAGCCTCTGGGACTCCCCTCCGACCCCCTCGCCGGACCCCAGCCCTTGCTCCCAGCCAGCTCGCCTCACCTGCCGGTCCGCTGCAACTCCGGGCTGGGCGCGTGCGGCTCCCGGCGGTGCCGGTCCTCGGCCGGGGTCCCTCGCTGGGCGGCGAGTCCCTGGACCTCCCGCAGTTGCGAGGGGAGCCTGAGGAAAAGGGAACCCCGGTTGGCTGAGGACGCCCAGCCGGTGCGCTACTCAGTCCCCAGCTCTCCCTGCCCTCTGGCGGCTGCGCGCGTCTTTGCAGGCAGACGGCCGGGCTCCGACCGTGGAGACTCGAGAAGGTGCAAGTCTGGCCGGGCTCGGAGGCTCAGCCTGGAATCCCGCACTTCGGGAGACCGAGGCGAGTGGCTTGCCTGAGCCCGCGGGTTCGAGACCAGCCCGTGCAACTTGGCGAGACCTCGTCTCTGCAATAAGTCAAAAATTAGCCGGGCGTGCGCGCCTGTAGTTCCGGCCACTTGGAAGGCTGAGGCAGAAGGATAGCAGGAGCCCAGCAGGTGGACGCCGGGGTGGCCGTGAGCGTGCCATTGCACTCCAGCCTGGGCGATGGAGTGAGACTCCGACTCAAAAAAGAAGGTGCAGGTCCTACTGTGACCTGTGGACGCCAGGTTCGGGCAGGGAAGGTCCTTGTTCAGGTCTCAGCGAAAGAGTGGTCTAGCAGAACTCAGAATCATGTCTGCCTGACTCCAAATCCAAAGATAAGGCCCCTTCTCTTTCCTGGAACCTGGCCTTTCTGCATCAGCAGAACTAGACCCAGGGATAGAAAGGTTCTGCATGGGACGATGGCCCCACGTACCTTTTGTGCTTTTGAGAGGGCAGACATTTGGGAGGGGAAATCCGGGATGTCGGGTCCCACCGACCTGGGGGGAGCACTGTCACCTCCTCCAAGAAGGCATCCAGGGCTGCCAGAAGGTCATGAAGGTTGCTGGCCCGACGAGCTGACCACTGGAATTGCTGTGGATGGGGCACAGAATGGGAAGTACGTGCAGACCTGGACTCTTCTATGCATTTCCCATCTCAAAACTAGACAAACATAAGTCACACAGGCAGACAAGTCCTTCATGCATGCATTCATCCATTCATTCAGTGAGTATCTACTGAGTGCCTACAGTATGCCAGCACTGGGTCCATCATGAGGCTACACTGGAAGTCAAGGAAACTTCAGTCCCCATGCTCATGGACACAAAGCCACCTTCTGCCTCACTGCTGTTCTTAGCCACACATACAGTGTACACACACACACACACACACACACACACACACACTCAAATGAGCCTGGGCATACATGCACAGACACACACACCTGCATGACTCACCGGGTCACTGAGGAGGACAGCCACTGCCCGGCCCATCTCATGGTAGCCCCTTCCTTGCATGGGGGGACCCAAGAGAAGGCAGAAAAACCTGAGGAGGGAACCAGGCCTCAAAGAGGGCCGGAGGCTGCTTTCCCACAAGGCAGCTCTGGCCTCTGATGCTCAGCTCTGACCTCTCCACCAACTCCCCTGCACACACTCCTGTCCACACCTACTCCACAATCCTGAACACTACCTCCTCCCCAGACCCCAGAGCACTATCTCTCCTTACCCCCAGAGAATTGAACCAAGATCGTCCAATCTCCTCCCTGGTAAAGTCCTTTTTCTGGGCTCCGGGGTCCCCAGCTCCCACTCAGTAGTCTTACCTGCTGGGGAGGGGCACCTCAGTGAGGGGCCCCAGCACCACAGGATCCCGCAGTCTTACGAAGGCCCCCAGTGGCTGTGTCAGGAAACCCAGCTCTCCGGCCAACACAGTCCCTGCCTCGGCCCCTGGAGGTAGCTTCCATCTCAGGGGGTTCTGACGCTGGGTGAGGATTCGAGGAGACACAATATGAAAGGTTATTTCTTCTTTCTCTCTCTCTCTCTCTCTCTCTCTCTCTCTCTCTCTCTCTCTCTCTCTCTCTTTGTCGGAGCCTCAGTCTTACTCTGTCACTCAGGCTGGAGTGCAGTGGCACATTCACGGCTACCACAACATTGATTGCTGGGCTCAGGTGATCCTTCCACCTCAGCCTTCCAAGTAACTGGAACTACAAGCATGCATCACCATGCACAGTTTTTTTGTTTTTTTAATTATAGAGACAAGGTCTCTCCAAGTTACCCAGGATGGTCTCGAACCCCTGAGCTTAGGCAACTCTCTCACCTCTGCCTCCCAAAGTGCCAGAATTATAGGCATGAGTCACCATGCCTGGCTACGAAAGGTTATTTCATGGGGCAGGATCTTAACTGATGAGGGGTCCAGTGGTGGGTGGGCTTTTGTTAATTCCTGTACCCCCTCCCATCCCTGTCAAAAGAAGGGCCACAAACCTGTTCTTTCAGGGGGGCTTCCTCATCATAAGAAACCTTTCTTGGGTGAGTAGATTCTACAAAATAGGATTGAGCAGTGATTGATTAAGAGCACAGGCATTGGGGTGGATCCACCAGGGCTCCCTGGCCTGTTTTACTACTGACAAGCTGTGAGAACTATAGCACACCTCCCCCCACCCCAGGCCTCAGTTTGCTCATCAATAAAATGGGGATAATTGTAGTACTACTCACAGGTTGGTATGAAGGTCAAGTGAGATGCCTAGTGCAAAGCTTGGGACAGTGCCTACTAGGTACATCCCTTCACAGAACTCAGGTATTATTCTAGCCCCCTTATCTTCTCCCCCCAGGATTACCACCAGCTTCCTCTGGCCCATGAGTCCTGGGTTGAGGTCTGAGCTAAGTCTGGGCGACTCCTGGATGAGGAAGGTGCAGGGGAAACCTGGAGCCCTCCCATCCCAGGGTCTTGGTCCTGGGCCTGGGGAGGGGCCTCTCACCCCAGCAGGGCCTGGTGCCTGTGGTCCTGATGTGGTGCTGTGGTTTCTGCAACAGCAAGGCCTGCAGTTGTCCTCTCAGCTCTGGGCTTAGTGGCTCCACCCTGGTCACCTGCTCTGGAGAATAGATGTAGGACTCAGATCCATTTCTGGGAGTCCCTCCTGCACACGCTGCCCCTTCAGCCTCTGCTCGGGTCCCTTTTCCTTTGAGGACTCTCAGGGAATGCTAGGGCCGATGAACTTGCTGCCCCACTCTGCTTTCCCATCTCTATCCTGTGACAGGATAGACAATCTCCAGGATTGTCTTTCTCCAGGTGAGGTGGGCTCCAGAAGATTCCAATACTTTGGGGGGAACACTGGGGGAATGGCATGGCTACCCAGGCCCCCCTTGCAAAGGTTCCCAGCTTACCCACGAGCTCTAGGAAGCTCTGAGCTGGACAGTCCAGCAGTACAAGGCCCTCAGCTAGCAGGCTGCGAAGCTTCTGGAGGCTGGGCAGTGCCAGGATGGGCACGTGGGGGGCGCTCCACCGGCCTGCACCCACCTCCAGCTTCTCTTCAAACAGTACCCACCTGCAATGGAGGGAGGTAGACAGTGTTACTGGGTCATCCCACCCATGTCCAGGGGCAGGGATGCAGGGGAGCCAGAGAAGGGAAGGCAGTGGGGGTGTCCTGGACTCAGTGGTGCAGAGTTTGTGCTCTCCTAGCAGTCACCCCTCATCTTGGGTCTTGGGGAACTCAAAACTAGCCTGCGGAAGGGCCTGGGTGTCACGGAGGGGAGGCTCTGAAGTAAGGGTACATAGACAGGGAAATTCCCATTTTCTGTGGGAAGCATCCCTCTAGGCGGAGTTCATATGAGAGGCCCCAGCTGGGGAAGAAGAAGGACCCCGTAGAACCCACCTGCCTGTCTCTCTCCACTCCAGTGCCTGGGGCCAGCCCAGCAGCTCATTCAGCTGAATGAAGAGCAGAGGGTCCTTGGATACCCCCAGTTCCCTGCTGTCTGTGTCTGAGGGGCCATCGGGGCTGGAGCCAGGGCTGCTGTTCAGCTCCCCTGCAGGAACACTTTCACGACCACTGGAGGTTTCAAACTCCTCCTGGCCTGGCAGTTTCATCTTGGCGAGACTTGCACAGAGTCTCAGAGCCAGTGCAGTCCTATGTTCTGAAGCCAGGAGCCTTCTGGCCAGCTGCATTTATAATGCACCCCCACCACAGCACAACACAAACAGAACAAGACCTGCTAACTCCGGAACGTACCTGTCACCTTCTCCTCTACTTGCTTCCCCCAACACCCACTGGCCTGAGAGTGTTTATAAGGCTAGCCTGACCTTTCCCGGGCTCTCCAGAAATGCCCAATCTGGGGCCAAAGTGTGTGTGTGCATTTCCTGTGTGATCAGGTTTGACCCCACTGTGTTTTGTGTAAATAAACAGGAGTAAGCGGCTGGACTAGGTCTGAGGACTGACAGTCCTAGATTATGCTGCCTCATACATACAGGTAGGGGCCCAGCCTGTATCAAATACAAACACCAAACACCCAGGACTGTTTTGGGTGTCACCAACACACCCTGGGGGCCACAGACACACTCATTTGGACAAACAGGAACCTCATCAATAACTGGGTCTGTGGGAATCAAACAGGATAAGAGAGACAGCAGGGAGAGCCCCTGCCCATTAAATGGGATGGAAAGTGGAGGCAGTTCATGGAGGACACAGGGCCTGAGTTCTCAATTCTTTTTTTTTTTTTTTGAGTTGAAGTC